ATGGTGTGGAGGGGATGGCTATAAGGGGAGAAGGGAGGCCATCCTTAAAAAAAAGGAAGAAAAAAAAAGAAAAATGTTCTTCAAATGGCTGGAAATTGCACAGTTTTGAGTAGATCTTTTAGAAAATTTTCTAGGGGAGTATACCCCTGGACTCCCCTAGAACTGCTTCAACAGGCTGTTCCTCATTGTTATCAGCAAGTATTCACAGGTATAATGTAGACTTCTGATATTCTGTCAGAAATTAGTTATATTGTTAACTATTTTAATTGGACAACTTGGTTCCTAAAGATAAACAGGATCAAAGACAAAACTATTTAATTTGGAATGCTGTTGTATGTAAATTTTCAGGGAGATTTGGAAAAATGCACAAGGGGCGCCACCTCAAATTTTGCCGAAGGCACCAAATTGATTCGGGCCGGCCCTGGTTAGCACTGATGCCTCACAGCAAGAAGGTCCTGGGTTCGATCGTCATTTCGGACCTGGATTCTTCCTGTGTGGAATCTGCATGTTTTCCTCATTCTTGCGTGGGTTTTCTTCAGGTACTGCAGTTTCCTGCCACAGACCAAAAAACACACGTTATATATCCTTCAGGCCCAGGCCTCCTTTGCAAAAGAGAACTGTGATCTCAGTAGGATTTGCCTGGTTAAATAAAGGTTGATAAATAAATAAAGATAAAATAAAATGTAGAAACATATCATAAAACCCATAATCTCAAACTTAGTCTGAAACAAACACCAAGGAAAGAAAAAGCGTCTTGAGCAAAGATTTTTAGGTCTCAACTGTCTCAGCGGCCCATAAATGAAGAGGTAAACAATTCCACAGTTTTGCAGCAGCAACTGCAAAAGCCTGATCACTTCCTGTTAATTTAGTTTGGATGTTGGAATATCTAGGAGAAACTTGTTGGTTGCACTGGAGTGGGAACATTAAGGAGATCACATCAAATCCAAAGTGCCCAAAAAGCGGCCTTCTAAAGAATCTAGATGTATCTTTACGATTGGTCAGAGTTCACATTTCCAGGYCGGTTTGCAGCAGCTGTTAAGACTCTCTGACTTTGCTCCTGTCCTGGTATTTAGCTACACATTAACTCAAGTTTCATGTGTGAAAGGCTCTGAGTAGGAAATATCAGGCCCTGCAATTCTCCTTCATGCAAAACAACATTAGCCATTTATTGCTGTGTTGCTAAAATAAGCTGAAGTTATTTCTGAGGCAGGTTCCGATGGATGGATTAGTCCATTTTTAATGTATAAAACAAAAAAATCTTTGAACACTTCTGTTGATTTTCGTTATTGTACTGGCCCAACACACAAACAGGCTTTGTTCATTTTTCTGTGCATTCAGCTTTTAAACCATTGTAAGCTGACATGTGGTGTTTTGGTTCTGCAGCCATGCGGGACCCCATGGCCATGGAGCGAGCCAACCTCCTGAACATGGCAAAGCTCAGCATTAAAGGCCTGATCGAGTCGGCTCTGAGCTTCGGACGGACGCTGGACTCAGACTACCCTCCTCTGCAGCAGTTCTTTGTGGTCATGGAACACTGCTTAAAACACGGTCTTAAAGGTGAGAATGTGGCTGAGATCAAACGTGTTTGYGTTATATATAAAAATGTTTTGGGAGCTTGGAAATTGTGCGGCGGAGTCGTTGATGAGGTCGCATGTTCATCTCTCTGCAGTGAAGAAGTCCTTTCTGGGTTTTAACAAATCTCTGTGGGGTCCTCTGGAGCTGGTGGAGAAACTGTGTCCAGAAGCGGCGGAGATCTCTGCTTCTGTACGAGACCTTCCTGGACTCAAGTAAGGAAGAAATCCGTGCTGGTTTCATTTAGCTTGACCCAACCTGCTGGTGACGGAGCATCAGCCACAACAACCACACTGAAACTGGAGTAACAGTTAACCGTTACCTGAGCCGGCTCAGGGAAGTACCTGTGTTGTTTACTTTTACTTCACCTTTCTCCACTCAGCAGCCTCACTTCTTCCYTAATTACAGGTCCTTCTCAAAAGATTAGCATATTGTGATAAAGTTCCTTAATTTCTGTAATGTACTGATAAACATTAAACTTTC